CAGTAAAACCAGTCACCAAATCATTACCGAAGAGATAAAAACAGAGCTAAAATTCTTTGATATCAGTATAAATTAGATCCAGTACCGTTGATTCCGATCTTAATCTTCCCTGCAAACCAAAGCATAAAATCGGGAAAAAAATAACAAAATTAGTAGAAATGGAACGATATAAAGCGTAATAGCAAGATCCAACCAGACAATAACCATACAATATAACTAACAAATTACCCATGAGTATCCAAGTGATGAAGCAGAGAGACTCTGTGTTCACAAATGAGAGGAGCAAAAGGAGCGGAAGCAAATGTTGGGCAGGGGAGAGGAAGATTAGGGTTTAACGTACACGGGGAAACTGGGAACCGGAAAGTCCGGGAACATTTTAATAGGACTATATGTTGAGAGATGGAATACTCTGTGCACTGCCGGTTCATGTTAAATCATGATGCGCTTGACTGACACCTGTCCGATTCGATGACTAATAAAAAATTCGCCGTCGATTCTTTGCGTGAAGACATCGTTGTCAAAAGTAGCCGTTGATTATTCTAATCTGACGTACAAAAATAGTTAGCGTCAATCGTGCGGCCACGACATATTTGTTTTGGTTGAAAGAAGGGGGCATGTGAGTGACATGTGGCGAAAATATAATAAAATACTTATTCTCAGGTCTGTCTAGAATTATCATCAACCCGAGGCGCGCGCGACATATAGAGTCCAGGTTTTCCAGAACTTGTTGTCATAAAAAAAATATAATATAGTTTCGTTAACTTTTTATATGATGCTTTTAGAACAAATAATACAATACTTTCTTTAAGATTACTTTTGTAGCTATTAGAATATGTGAATTTTTTTAATGTATTAATTAAATAATATAAAGTAATAAATCTTAAATTCATATAGAATTTTAATTTTATAATTTTTTTTTTTTGAAATTTATATAATTTTTTAAAATTTTAAATAATAATTTTTTATCTTCTAGTTAAACTAATTACTAAATTATAACAAATACTGCACGGTTTCTCATATTTATGAACTCATTTTTGTCAGTCGCTGGACTAAGATTTGTTGGTAATAATCCATTGTTAAACTTGTTTTATTATGTTTTATATAAATGTAGTAATTTACATTCTAAATTATCGCATCTACTGTGCAATTTAATTACCAAAATTATTTACTTTCCGAATTTCTTTAAAACCATAATTTTATTTGGAACGATACACAAAACTAGAACTAATTAAGAAACAGATTTCATCAAATTGTCATTACCAGATCACCACCCATGTTTTTCCTTTCTCTTATTTGAGTGCAAGCCCTAAGCCCAAAAGAATGGAGCCAGCCCAGAGATGAGATGGAATAACTCAGCCAACCAGCCCAAAATAACAATCAATTTATTCAATACAAAATTAGACATTACAACCAAGGCTCCTCCTCTCTCTCCTTTCTCTCATCCCTGATGCTGTTCGTATTTAGATCTTGCCACCTACACGAACACGTGGCCAAACGACCTGGCCTGTCTTGACACCTCACCCACTGAGGTGTCTCGTACTTCCTAAAATTTTATATAGGCCCCATCTTTTGAATATTTAATTCATTTTTTATTTTAATTATAAAAAGGCCCAAAAAATTTAATTTTTATTCCTTTAAGCCCTTAAAATATTAATTTATATAATTTTAGGCCTAATTTAATTTTTAAATTTTTTTTTTTTTTTGTTTGCAAAATTATGGGTATTATAAACTCCTCCCTTGAGAAATTTAATCTTCCACATTTTCATCTGTAAGGACCCTAGCAACCATTTAGGTATAATGTCGGCATATTTGTCAACAAATTAGAGTGGTCATTTCATTTTCTCCTAATGGGATCATTTTAGATTATGATATTTTCTTTTATAATTCTTACCGGTAAAGATGTGTAGGTTTATGGTGCTTTTGGTACCTAATTACTTATATCATTTCCTTTAGTGTAAGGGAGCTTATTATCTAAAATTATCGTGGTAATGTTATCAGAACATATCTTCAAGGACTTAGTTTTCTCTCTCTTCAAAATTTAATTTTATAAGCAAGATTGTTTAGGAACTTAAGTTCCAATCGAGTGCTGATGTTACAACATTTCCATTTGATGGAAACATCTTTGGTTTTCAATTTCATTTCATTATACAATAGTTTCTAAGGCATGTTTCTCCATTTACGAGTTTAAGCGGGATGGTGCTTGTTCAAATTTTCCTAAAAATAGTTGGTTCGTTTAGAGAATTACTGTTTAATTTTATCATTTATTGATCCTTGAGTTTTACGTGTCTGATTTAAGTTATTAGGTTTCTAAATTTTAATATTTAGAGTATGATTGGTTGAAATGGGCTTAGATGGTTATGGAATCGATGATTATTTCTGGAGATGATTAAAATTTCTTTTGAAACCAGATTCATTTATTAGTTTTGCCACGAGTAGTTACATTGAGTTCTAATTCTTGCAAGTACACTTCAAGTTCCCAAAAATTCCAAGTGACTACTCTTAAGTATGTCCTTAAGATACGAGTCATTATTTTGTCACACCATCAATCTCTTCTTCAGTTTGAAGAGAGAATTATATAGGTGCGGTTAGGATTCAACACACTTATGTTGCGCCACTATGATGAGAGACAGATAAGAAGTCTGCTGATGGTTAGATATGAGAACAAGCTCCTAAGGTCTTACCCCTTATTCATGAAATTAATTTAGGAATATTTAGAATTCTTAGGAAGATGGATTTCTATTTCAGTGTTGTTTGATTCCTAGTAGCTAGATTACTTAAGAGGAAGAATCTTAACTAAGTGTCGATCTATTTTAGTTACCAATTAATTTTAGAACAGAGATGAGAGTTTTGAAATACCTAAGGAACTGGGCTATCTTAGAGGGAAACAAAAGAAGGTTCTTTAAGAAGAAATTATGAATTATTATTAGGCTTCGATCAGAATTAGGATTTGTTATTTTTAGAGAAAGACTATGTGGAGGACTTTCTCTTGTTCTAGGAATTTCTGCCTATTGGAAAACTTTCCCACTGAATAGAGTTTAGTTTCTGATTCATGAATTTTTTTTTTCCATTTGGGAATTTTCTCCTGTTTGGGAGAATTTCTTCCACATGGGGAACTTTCCTACTAAAAGGATTTTTCCACTAAGGAAAATTTCCATTATCATGGGAAAATTCCCACATGAAAAATTTCTCACATGGGGGATTTTCTCTAATTGAGAAATGTTCTCCCCTACCTTCTAATTTTTTTTTTGCGGAAACCTAGCACTAAGACTACATAACACTTTGATACCTCATACACAAGGGATGATCTAGGAGCATATTGCTCTGATACCACCTGTGATGTCTCGCAATTCTCCAACGAGAAACTACGCCACCAAACACAACTGAACTAGAAAATACAACATAAAAATTTAAACTAACATAAAAACACAACATAAACTATTCATCCCTTGTACAACATGTAACATAATTTACATAATGAGGTTATAAAATTCGGTAAAGTCTACAATTGGACTAAAACTCAACTGATGAAAACAAAAACATACAATTCTTGATTTCGCTATATAAATTATCTTTATTGGTCTTATCTAAAAAAAATTTAAATTTAAATGGAATGAGCAAAACAATAGGCTCAGTAAGTATATCAAATAAACTACACCTTAGACATGCGACATATCAACATACAGTCAATCAGAAATGTAAAACTTTTCTTTTCTTTTATGTTTAAAAACCATGAAATACTGAGAGATTCAATTTCCTAACTTCTCCCTCATTTCTTTCCTCTTAACTCTAACTAATCTTTTCTCTTCACTATTCTCCCTTACTAGTTATTTCTCAGAATTCATTTTTCTAATTATTTTCTCATTATCCCCCTAGTTTCTTTCTTTTCTTAATTCTCTAATTGTAACCATTTTATATCATACACTATTATCACATCACATTTAGTTCTAAAACCATACTCATCTATTAGTTTCCCTCTAATCCATACTTATCCCATAATTCACATACCAAAATTTCTTGCAATTTTCCAGCCAAATCGAGACATCTGTAACCCCTCAATGGATATCCTTGATTCTTAATTTGTCCCAACACAATCATCAAATTGAAAGTTTTAAAGTTTTCTTTAATATTGAATAGTTATATCCGTTATTAAATTTATACCATTATGAGATTAGAATTTCCATTATCGCAAGGGGATGTACACACAGTCAAAAAACACACATTGGTCACAGTAGTCCATTGCTAGGTGACCCAGAACATAACACACATGCCAACCATGTCTGAAAGGATTTCTATCCATCTAAGGATAGGTTCACCACACTGTTGAATTTTAGCAATACCAATATGAAGGATTGTAGTATGTTCATAATACACAACGAAAAATATAAAATAATTCAATATGATCTATTTGTGCTCAAAAATTATCTTGTAAGTAAAAATTAAATTTAAAACATACCTGACAGTGGGATCTCAAATTAAAATTATTCAACAACACGAACACTCTATGCATATCCTACTGAAACCAACATTTGCTAATAAACTCTTTCATCAATGAAATATATAAACAAATTGAATAAGATTTGTGCTAAAATTTTCTTATAAAATTTTAACAGAAAAAATTTCAATCAATTGTTTTTTCTTTTCTTTTAGTGTGCGTGCAGCTAGGTTTTTTTTTTCCCCTTCTCTTCTCTAATTCTTGTAATCCCCACTCATATATATATATATATATATATAATCACACACACATATATATAGGTGGCATGGGCCATCCACATGGTTTG